AAATGGAGCAACGGGAGGCTCCATATAACAATCAAAATGGGTGAATCATTTTAACATGAGTATCAAAAACCAATTAATATGGTAGTATTGTCTAGAGAATATCTGATGCAAGCTGAATCTAAAAAAATCTTTATGATGGCATGATGGATATCAATGAGCCTAATGGAATAATCTCCTATCAGTTATAAATCCGATACAAACTAAAGATAATAAGTGAGAGAGTTAAGAGAGTGAGAGACAGAGGGAGCATGATCGAGAGAAAGAGAGGGAAGGAGAGTAGCGACAATCCCGCGTGCATACCTTCACGCAAGAAATTCTAACTTCAACGAGGCTTCCTCGTGTGCACTTGACAAACCACAAGCAGAAGAAGAGAAAGAAGAGGTGAACCTCTTGGCACGAAGAGAACGAGAAAGAGAGCTTGTGTGCTGGTAAAGGGCCAAACCGAGTAGTTTCCCTAACTGAAGAAAGAAGAAGGCGAGCCCTAACTCGTGGAAGACCATCAACCAAGCACCTAAAAGCTCTAGGCATAGGTAAGGGCAAGGCAAAGAGGAAACAATGGGGCTCTACTACTTTAGGTAAAAAAATCTAAACTAAAACCTAGATTTTTATTATCGTTTTCTTAATGCCAAACCTAATTGGATTAAAAATTTCAGAAAATCCTAGTCTAATTTTTGAAATTGTTGTAAGGAGACTAATAACAAAAAAGGCAAAAGGAAATTTGCAGGTGTGAATCCTTGCACAACCACAAATATCTATTTATTTTATAATTGCTGGTTAGTTTCGGTGACATTAAAGTAAACTGAAGAGCCTTAAGGCTTAAGCATGCCAAAAAAAAAATTTTAAGATTTAACAAAAATTTAAAAGTTAAATCTATTTATTTATTATTATAATAATATTAATAAATGAAATAACATCACCTTAAGCTATAGGTATTGGTAAAGTACTTAATTGAAAACTTCAGAGGAGAAAAAGTAATTTAAATATTCAAATATATACATATACATATACATATACATATGTGTCGCATACCCTAGCCTGTTGGTTGGCATCCACGATCTAAGACACCTCAGATTGGGGTTTCGAATCCCCTCTGACACAGTTGGCCTTAAGAAGGTGATACTTGAATTATTAGACACATTAGGGGTGGTTGGAGGCTCATATAATAGTATATGGTCATTCTTTTTAATATATATATATATATACACACACACAAATATCAAGAAACAAATATCCAATTAATTAGATAAATTACAAATGAATATATCTAATCAAAAATAATAATCATAATAAAAATAGCTAATTTTGAATTAATATGAACGAAGCAAAAAAATTGATAAATGCGGATCGAGTCTAATTTGTTACTATAGTACACCGAATGAATTGTTTGATTTGAGAAAGCACAATTAATTGGTGATTTTATAATATTATTTTTTTCCCTAAAATCAAATGCAAATATTTTCATTATTTTTAGTATTTTATTTTAAATACAAATGTTATATTTTACATGTGTTGAAATTAGTTAAAGCAAATGCTAAATAAAAAATATAATATAATATAATATAATATATGCATATGCATATGTGAAGTCACTTCCATATAGTATTAGTTAGAGAAAAAATATACCCGTGCACATAAAATAAAAATGAAAATGATTACTTGTCTTTTCAATAGGTTTTGAAAAAATATTTTGAAACGTGTACTTTTAATACATATTTAGACAATGATTCCCATTAACAAATGTTTTAAATGAAATAAATAAAAGTAACAATAAAATTATTTTATTTATTTTCACTTTTTACTATTTTTTCTTTGCTTTTATCGAAGTGTGAATTTTCTGCTTCACTTTATAAAATATCATAATATATGAATTCTTATAATTTAGAGATATTTTATCCATTAAATTGTTTAACTCATACATCAAGTTGCTACAATTTTTCAAAAAAATCTCGTTTAGAATAGATGGATCCTAAAGATTATGTTTACACACACATCCAGAAGCTCAATGAGATAGGTACAAAATTTTAGTTTTTATATTTCTATCAATTATAAAAGTTATAAATTGGAAAAAATATTTGTAAATTAAATTTATAAAATTAGATTGCTCTTTTATGCTCCGGACAATTTTTATATGGGACAATTACATAAAGAGTGCCCAAAACATTGTTATTTACAAATCAAGCAACCTCTTTTTTTGAAACTGAACTTATTTCTGAACAAGATTTAAAAGTCCCAATTGAAAACTATATAAATGGAAGATAAACTTATAGTCTAAACCTACAATAGATCTTGAATGTGAAATTAACATTTAACAAACTAATGTGATTCTTGAATATGAAAGTCAATAAATTATGCATAAATCTAACTCCTCATAAGAGTTTTAACAAAGTTAATTCCGACAATTAAATTAAGATTGACTTGGCATTTGATTATTAGTTTTTCAACATGTGAATTCTAAAACAAAAGACTTGGGGAGAGTGAAATTCCATCAATGGTTTGATGAATTTGATAATAAAAACAACTCTAAAAGAAACCAAATCTTGGAAGTATGGTTAGAATTGAAAGTTTGTAAAGCATCACCATTAATATTTGCACTATTTGAGTTAACCCCATTATTGTTAGGTTGCATCTTCTTAATTTTTTTCAAATATCTCATCATCGAGTGATGAGTTATAAATTATTATTAGCATTCATTAGAACGCTTTTTACTGTTTCATACCATTTGCATGACTTCTAACTTATCTAATTTCTATATAGAGATCTGCCAAAAAAAGCTAAATGTTGACAATGACAATTATAAGTATGTTTTTAATGTGAATAGAAGATGTGGAATTTAAACAAGATGTTAAGCTAACGTGTACAAGAAAGATGGGGCAACATGAAATGATACAAGGCATTGGGATAAATAATTATGAATTAAATATTCTATGAAGGCTTTAAAATGGCTTTCTTTCATGAACTTACTATCAATCACATGGATCCCCATCTCTTTCCATTGCAAATTTGTGAATTCACATCAAGTACTTTGATAGGTGGATCAACTTGTCTTATTCTTGAAACAAACAAGCATGACGGTCCAATATTAATGTTGGTCCAATATTAATGTTGGATAACATAAGTTTCATATGCAGTGAGATGGCATATTTATTTATGATGGTTCTTGAATTAACTTGCCAAAGCAGAACTTCTTGCCAAAATTTAAAAAAAAATTAACAAAAAATTAATTAGTTGTAGTCAAATTTTTTAAAGCAAATCAGTATGATACAAATTTGTAAGTTTCTTTTCATAACAAATGCAGTTCATTTGTCTTGATTCTTAGTTTTCATTTTCTAATTCATTGAAGTAGAAAAAGTTGCCTATGATAACTACTTTCATACGAAAGGGAAATGTTTTGAAGTATTTTATCGAGCATTATTCATTATTAAAAGGTTAGAATTCAGTTAATTGAATTCTAAATCAACGCATCTAGCGTTCAAAATCAATAATGCTGAGTGAATTGCTATGGGGCTGTTTCAACGCTTTCCAGAAAAACACGAAAATGTTATTTTTGTTGTTTTTAAAACACCTTTCCCCGCTCCATATGACACGATACGACTTCATCTCTTCCCGCTTTCTGAGATGGCAGCAGCATCCCTCAACGATCCAGCAATGGAGCAATCCCGTACACACATCCTCTCTGACACAATTGCTGCCTCGTCATCATGGAATGTCTCGTTCTTCCCATCGACTTCTTCATCAATGAAAATCCGGTTTTCCGTTGTTGATTTTTCAAGTTTTGTCGGCAGTTCTCCATCGTTGACATGTTTCTTTTTTCACTCTGCCGATTGCCGCTTCTGCCTTTGCGTGCATTTTTTTTCTGCTCTACTGCTTGCTGCTGCAGCCTTTGCTGCAAGCGAAGGAGGCGGAGGTGGAAAAGAGGGGGCTAGACGATGATCACTCTCAAATCGCTGGAACCCATTACTTTGTCTACAGAGTCCCCGACCATTGCATCGGTGGCATGAAGCTCCCAGTCACCGTCGCTGTCTCCTCTTCATTCCAATCCTCTACTCCCCTTCGACTACCACCCGCTCCACCACAACCTACCACTTTTCTGCAACCAGCAAAACCCATATTTCAGCGATGTTGGCTGGCTATTTTGGTTTGTTGTTCTTGGCCGGTTGTCTACTTTGAGATCGGTGGTCTGGGAGGAGACGATGTTGTCATCATCATGATCCGGTCTTTTTAGAAATTAGACTGCCCAGATGTTCTTTATTTTTAAAAACAACAAATGTACATGAATACCAATCATATTTTTATTTTTATTTTTTGTTTTTAAAAACCAAAAAAAAACATAAGAATACAAAATATGTTTTTCATTTTATGTTTAAAAAAAAATTAAAACAAAAAGTGGTCACAAACGGCCCCTAAAGTTTATAATGCTCATATTTTTGTTTCCCTACTACTCGTTAATTACTTTCCTACCTGCTTAACTACCACTACTCCCCTGTTACGCCACTACTATGCAACTGTTATACCTTATGTTGCTTGCTCTGTCCTGATTTCTGCATGGTTACCACGCCAGCTTCTATTCCCTCTACTTGTCCATAATACAGTTTTGCATTCTACTCCATCTCCACCTCAGTTATATGATTGGCATGGCTTCCTTTTCGAGTCTTTAAGCAATTCAGGAATTAAATTTTATGGAAAAATTAAACTTATTGGAAAGAAATTTGCCATCAGAATTCATTAGATGAAGAAACAATTGCTTTTTGGAGTGAATCATGACAACTTTTGTGTAATTTCTTAATTTGGGTTCGTTGTATGCTATAAGTGAAGAGTTTCAGGCATACAAAAAAACCATTGGACAATGAGAATTGAAATTTAGATTTGAAAATATATAAAAATAACAAAATCAGGATCAGATTTCAAGAAACAGTAGAGCTAAATTATGGTAGCATTATAAATGAAGCATTATCCTAAAGTAAATGAAAAAAAAAAGTATTCTATGAATAAAAATGTTATACCTTTATCTCATTCACAGCATTCTTTCTGGATGATGGTGAGAACCGATCAACATATATAACCTAAATGTACAAAGAAAATATCAAATGCCAAATCCCTATAATTAACTAAAGTTACTGGCTTCCACCAAGTTTATTATGCCCAAAACCAAAACAGAGAAAAAATCTTTTTGCCATAAAAATCTGCATCCTGATAACAAAAGCTTACCTGCATGGCTCTAATAATAGTGCCAACAAAGGGGAGGCTATCATGTGACTCAGAAGCAACTATCGTCGGGAATAGTTCATAGAAAAAGAATATGGGTTCAACATATGAGACATGATTAGAAACAACAATAGGAGCAACCTCTCGGGAAGCAGGTCTTCCAATTCGATTAATCCAGTGATACCTGATGGAGATCCAACAGAAACATCAAGTTCAAAAAAATTGAGTAAGTTGTCAAAATGCAATCATTCAAATGGTTAGTCATTGAAACTGAAGTATTTTGGGATAAATCCAGACACCGCAGAACAAAAATGCATGCATAAGTAGAAAGAAATTTGCAGCACGCTTAAAAACAAGAAAAAAAAAATTAGTTAGATGATCAGTTGCAACTACAATACACTTCTACTTGTAAAGAACAAGTGACTGATGCCTTCCATTTTTTATGGCGCTGCCAAATTATTCATGCAAACGTGTGCTAATTAGCTAGCAGCTAAGTAATGTTGCACTTAAATCATTTGATCAAAGAAAGTGAAAGAAAAAAACTGTCTCAGTTAAGATCCTATGTAAATGTGTCTTAAAATTAAAACAAAAAGTTTGCGTATATGTATATGATTGCTTGAGAGTGCTAATTTGAACAGATAGGATCATTAATTTTTCAAATAGTGATATCTTATGACTAGTTAGTGAAGATACATGAAATCGCAGCTACATGGGATAATCATAAGAAAAAACATAAATTTATTAAAAAAAATCAAATCAAGCAAATATAAAACATAGAAAGTAATAACTATCCTAAAGGAATATACCATAGGAGTCATCCATAACAATTTTTAAAAGTTGGATAGGCTGCTTCATGAGAATCCTTACAACAACATTGTGGCCGCCACAATGATTGCAAACTATTAGACGAGGAGTGTATTAACCAATACAGAAACTCGGCAAATATAATTTGTAAAACTATGTTTGAGAAGATAAAAATCAAGAGAACCTGACTACCTTAGAACATAAACCCTCTGTATGCATTTTCTAAAAAAAGGAGAGAAATAGAAAGGATAATAACTCTGCCAATTACATAGTTGAAGGAGGTTGTCAATAACATCAATGACTCATTATAGTTGATGTCCTGACAACTTATAATGCAACTTTTGGTCAGCCACACCTTAATACATTCTAAGCATTATTCTCCACATACCACTTTGCATGCACTGAAGTTCCTAGTAGAGGGCCAAAAATTAATGATGAAAGGCAATTTGTATTAGTCTAGAACTTGCTATTTAAAAGTTGCGGGCAATGTACAAGAGGAAGTATTGAACTTGGAAGTCCAAAAGAACTCAATTTAGGAGATACAAGATATAAAAGCCCCTGGTTGAACATGTCATGTTGGTTCATTCTTCAATGGTGAGTACAAGGGCGAACTAGAAGCTACACCCTCAAGAAACATATAGACGTATTTGCTAGTCAAACAAAATGTCGGGTATTGACATCAGTGTGACCTGCCACATATTAAATTTAGAAAAGAAAATAAGGGCCATTAAATAAAAAATAAGACCAATCACCACGACTTTAGCCAGCAAAATTAAGTTGTTGCTAAACATCATATTTATCAGAAAAGTACATACTTGGATGGGGTATTAAACGCAATAATGATGCAGAAGTAGAACAAAAAGTAGCGAATGTACGCAAACGTAGCCAATTTAAATTCGGCCGACCAAAAGGATAGTGACTTTTTGTCATGCACAGATGCTCTAGTTGACTCAATGACTGTCATTTTCCTTAACATTCTCTACAGCTATCATCAAAAAATGCACTCAACATATATCGAGAAAACAATTTTCAGAACTAGAGAAGAATTATATAGCTACAATATCATAACATTTAGGCTCAAGAAGATGAGGTGACCTACTAATGAGTGATTAACATCTACTTCAAGAATAAAAAAGAAATGAATGTTGACGTGTGTGTAGACAATTTACAAGCAAAAAGTAAGACCTCAGCACATCACATACTTAACCTATGGAGGCTTTCACAACTTCGACAAATTAAATACGAGACTCAATCCACTGAAGTATATTCTAAAGATGGATCATGCAAATTCTTGATATTCTTGCTCACCCCAGAAGGAATTAAAATGAACCCAAACAAAATTTAAACTATACTAAAGATGGTTGGGGGAATATTAAAAAACTGCAAAAATTGATTGGTTGAATAGTTGGGCTCAGTTAGTTCATCTCAAAGTTTAGCAAGAAGTACTTGCCCTTCCTCAAAAAGCCTAGAAGCGCATAGAAGATCAAGTCGATCTAGGACAATAATAGAGCTTTCAAGAAGCAACAGTAGCAACTTTTGTCACCAACCGTACTCTAAAGCCCGGGGCATGCCAAGGACTTATTGTTATACCGGTGTTGTCAATGAGGCTATCATTTTTGTTCTCACTAGGAAAAAAGAAAAGAAGCAAATGCCAATATACCAAGCAAGAAAAACACTTCATGGAGCCTAGTTATGCAACCTATCATGGAGAAACTCACCTTCACCCTCATCACTTCAGCTAAGACTGCGACCATACTTCGAAGCACATTCCATTTAGATCATCACTCACCATTCATTGAAGTTGGTTTTGGCGAAGCCATACCATTCCAGATGAATTATTAAATGGTTAATAGAAATGAGTAAATTTCAAAACTCATTTATCCACAGAATGCAATCAAAGCAAAACTTTAGTAGATTTCCAGGCTAACATCTCATTGGCAGGTCAAAGTAGCTACCACTCTAGACGAGCAGATATGGACACTCTACATGGACGGGGTCTCCAACAAAGAAAAAGAAATAGTCGTAGCCATTAAGAGCCCAACAAAGTTCATTTTCACCAACACGATTTTGATTAAGTTTTATGTCGTCAATAGCCAAACCGAATATAAGGCACTAATGATCTGCCTAACGTTTAGAGCAGACTCAGGAGCTAAGTACTTGCACATTTACTCGGACTCAAACCTAATGACCAATCAAAAGGATAAGCCTTATGAAACTAGGGAGGATATGCCAAGGAGATATTTTTTTTAAGATAATGACAAAAATTGATTAGATCGTGTACTTTAGGATTGAGAAAATACCGACAAAGCAAAACCAATTAGTTGGCATGCTCTTTAAAATGGTGAATCTATCTTGGAACTTACCCAACCTTTGATCAAAGTGAAAAAAGCTATGGAAATGGACACCCTAGGTGAACCAAGCTGTGTAGATGTGTTATAGAATACTTGAAGATGGATACAATCCTATCAAAGCATTAAGGACCACATACATTTCCAGAAAAAAGGTGATCTTATATATGATAATACGTGAGCTATACAAAAAGTCCGATAGTTCGCCATATTTAAGGTATATCCATGTAAATAAGCCAATCACTGGAAGAGGTTCATTCCAGAAAGTGTGGAATTCAATCAAGCATTCGGACATTGGCAAATCAATTACTAATACAATAATATTTTTAACCAATCATTCACAAAAATGTGGAGAACATCTATAAGAGGCGCCTATAAAGTCAGTTTTGCCCTTATGAAACTTCAAACAACACATAAGTTGTAGCCAATTTCAAATCTATGACTGTTCACCATATGGGATTTGGACTTAACCCATTCTCACTAGTGAAGGTACAAAGAATTCATTATATTCATGATTGATTAATTCACAAAATGGTTACGAACTAATACAATTGCAAAGATGGTCATAAACATCATTCATAATTTTGTATGGATCAACACATATATCAGATGGAGTAGCACATGAATGGCCCACATATCTCCAATAAGATGATCAAAAATATTTGTCAGAGCACAAGGATTCGCCTAAACCCACCATCTGAAGATAAATAACTAAGTCAAAGTGGCAAACAAACAAATCCTAAACCATTAATAGAAGAAAAATGAAGGCACTAGAGGAAAATGGGTTGACGTCTACGCCCATGTTCTATGGGCTCAAAGCAAGGCTTCATCTTCAATAAATCGGTAAACTAATTTCATACTACCACTCAACACCAAGGTCTTGCTACCAGTCGAACACACTTTGCCAACCACCAACAAATATGAAGTATATTAAATTGAAGGAATGATGAGAAGTGAGCAAAGAAGGTTTGAGAAAATTACTCAAATTGTTGGAAGAACATAGGATTCAATCAGTTATGAGGCCAGAAGTCAAGAGTAGTGAAACTAGATTTTACACTAGCTTGATAAAACAGCACCGATGTCGGAGAAAAAGTTCAAAGGCCACAACTTGGTGATAAAAAAAGCTGCCACACTTGCTCTTCAAACACCACTCAGAAAACTCAGATCAACAAGGAATGGCCCTCATAACGTTAATGAACAAGTCAGCCTAAGAGCATACAAACTCCACGCTTATATAGGAAAAATAATTCCCATAATATGAAGTGGTGACAATCTTAAAACCTTTTCTTCCTTTAAAAACATTATTATACTCCTTTATTTCTCGCTTTCATTTCTTGTAATCTTAAAAAATATATATAATTACAATAATAAACTTTATTAATAGAGTTTAACCAGCTGAAAGAGATTCCTCACCCACAAAAGAATCCTATATAACTTGACCCAAAAGTTTAGTAAGCTTAATCGGCTGAAAAAGTGTATACACTAATATAAACTTAATTAAACAAAAAAGTTGACTTACTAGGATTTTGAATAACTTCCCATGGGAGAAAATACATAACTCAGTCTAAGAGCCTACTCATGTAATGAAATTCTTCTTTTTCAACCTACAAGCCAATTCGAAGGTTGAAATTTTCTTAATTAGCCAAAGGATCTACTTGAAGAGTGGATTTCTTATTCAACCTAAGTGCCTAATTGCTATTTAAATTTTTTTTTGTGCCAACTGTGCCTACTAGGGTACAAAGGCCAACTCAAAGATCTAAGATCTTTTATCTACAGCCTATTAAGTTCCCTTTCCCCCTCAAGCATCTCATATAATAAGTTATCAAATGAAAGCTACAACATATAAGTTTTATTCCTTAAAATAAGATCCCTTTCGCTTTCAAGCAAATTATAAACCGACTTCTAGCTTTCCAAAGCCTTGTTTTTCTTAATATATTCTAAACTCAACTTCTCAATCATCTCGAGTTTTTTGTCATATCAGTAGCCAATAAGCTAATATATTGCAAGTGAATGGCCATTGCCATTATGGCTTCACATGCAAGTCGCACTAGTGAAGGAGGGGGCTCCTTTTGTGAAATATCTTGGAGAATATGCTTGGCCTCATGTTGAGTACAACAATGTGATTCCCCATATCACAAGAATCAATGTTGTAATCAGCCTTTTCTATGTTTGTTGCCTTGTCATGCTAAAAGGCTGGTCTCCTCGAACATGTAGGGCGTACATACCGCACCTTTTGTGGTGCCCCAACAATGCATTTTTCTCTTACTACAAGGATCTCCTCGTTTTTTTTATTCCCACCCTCTTCATTAACCGTTGTAGCCATACCCTCCAGACTGAAGACTATCCCAGTTGACCGCTTAAGGCTTGATATCGTCGCACCAACCGTTTGTGGGGACAAGGCAATTTTTACTATAGGACCCACTTTTGTAGAGATCTCAACTGGAGAAATGGGCTCCTTAACGGTAACTCAAACTCCTCATAAGAAAAGATGAGCCGGCCTCCGAGGATTGACTCGTCGCGACCTTAGTACTTCTCTCCTTGCACCTCCATTCTTTTTTTATCTTTAACTTTAAGAACACAAAGACTTTGAGGTCATCAAAAGTGAGAAAGGCATTCGAGTCAACTAGAAATGAATTAAAAACATTAAGTTAAATATGAGCCATAAAGAAAACATAAATTAATTCATTCTAAATGTACAACCAAATAGAAAATTAAATTCTTCGCACTACTAAGCACTAAAAACTTCTCATGCTAGCTGAAGCGACTACAGCGTTGTGAGCAAAACATGCTCTACCTTGTTAAGGTTGAGTTGAGGTTTTTGGATCTCCACCATTTTGTGCCTACTAAGAACAAAAAGACTTTGAGGTCATCAAGAGTGAGGCATCTATGTAAGCTAGACATGAATTAAAAACATTAAGTTAAATATAATCTATAAAGAAAACATAATTAATTAATTCATTCTAAATGCACAACCAACAAAACATTAAATGCTTCACACTACTAAGCACTAAGAACTTCTCGTGCTAGTTTAAACGGCTACAGCTTTGTGAGCAAAACATGTTTAACCTAGTTAAGGTTGAGTTGAGGTCTTTGGATCTCCACCATTTCATATTGTTGATCAGGCGAAGGCACTAGACAAAGCAATACACAACAACAAAGCCTTAATCCCGCTACGTGGGGTCGGCTACATGAATCTTTTTTTCTCCATTGCGTCCTATTTAATTTCATATTTTCATTTAGTTCTAATAAATTAAGAACATTTTTTATACAATAAGCCCAAGTTTTCCAAGGTCTACCTCTGCTTTTCTTAACCTAAGTCAAATCTAAAATATCTACTCTCATAATCAGGTCAGCAGATGGTCGACGCTTAATGTGACCAAACCATCTCAGATGACTTTCTCTAATTTTGTCTGTCACAAGAGCTACATCAACCCTATCACGGATATATTCATTTCGCATTTTGTCTCTAAGTGTAAAGCCACTCATCCACATAATCATTCTCATCTAGACAAAGCAATCAAATTCCTTTTTTTTTTTTTGCTCAAGTCGTTCATTTGGTTGTGGATGGATGAAAATGATACACCCAATGCTAAAGCCTTTCATTATAAAAAAATGGTGAAAGATAACAACACATCACAACAACTGCAACTCATGGAGATGAATAATAATGGTTATTATACTCACCATTGAGTTCAACAAAACTTGGGTGAGCATGACCACATAACAGTTAATGACATAGACCATTTGAACTCACAGGGGAAATCTATGGACGATAAAAAATTGATCTTAATACATGCAAATCTCGTATTCTAATAAAGCACTAGGATACTCTCCTTTAGAGCTCAGATGAGATGGGAATCATCATAAACGTAGAATATCTTGAAACAACTCACCCTCTATAAGGAGACTATGAAATGCTTCTTGAAGTTGTACTCGTTGAAAAGCTTGCCGCTTTTGTTCAAGTCCTTCGACATTTCGACGAGGAAGGATAAACGAATATAAGGAGAGAGAGAGAGGCAAGGAAGTTAAAGAGAAAAGTTTTATGAATCTTAGAAAGAGAGCAAAATGAAAATAAAAATCGCTGGAAAGGGGGATTTGATATTTATAGTCAAGCCTCCTATCTTTGCTATATTTATCAAAACGAAGGCATTAAAGGACTTCTAGCTATAAACAATGGCATTAAATGCCCAATAAAATAATCAATATGGAATTGTATTCAGATGAGTAGGACTCCATGGCACTTTGAGAGGAGGGAAATCAAAGCGCCCTAACCCTCTCACGCATGGCACCTAGTCAAAGGCAACTGGAGTATAAGTTAGTACTCAATTTGGATGGCCAACTAAAATACTTATTCAGCTATCAAACACACCCACTATGAATCATTCAGTTGACTAAGTCCTCATTACGAGATCAAGCATAAGAATTTGTCATCATTAAATCCATCTACTAAATAGATATTAAAAGATAGCATGATTATAACAAAAAGTGGGTAAAAAAAAATTATGAGGCTAATAGAGATCTGCAAACTTTATTACAACCATAAAAAAATTACAATACATTCAAATATATAATTTTAGAAAAAAATAAAAATTAGATATTACGTCGACTCATCCCTTCACCTAAGTTTCTCTTACAAAAAATATTAAACAAATTAAAAATAAGGTTTGCCAGGTATTGGTTGGGAGGAATCTGGTTCTCACCATGTGGTGCGGTATGAACTCGTCACCCGCATGAAATTGGTTCATCATCAAGGAATCCAAAATATTTTGAAGGAGGATGACTTTTACCTTCAGTTCCTAGACCTCCTCACTAAGGCCAATGACATCCATCCCCTCTATTCATTCTCCAAGATGACCACCCTCTCTAGGGTCGCCTCCATTTTGGTTTCCAAAGCAATATCTAATCCTAGAAAACCAACTTTGGTGACTAGATACCAATATTGCTAAGTAGCCAACAACATTGTTAGCAAAGCTATCCTTGTCTTCAAGTCAGCATAGCAACTCTGCCACCATGATTGAATCCACATCTTATCAGCTTGTAGAAAAGGAGAGCGGCCGATCCACAAGGTTGACAACTAGGGGCATCAAACATATAAAAGAGTTCAACAAATACGTCCTCTAAGCTCTCAGACGGTCTTGGCAAGTTGACATCCTCACCTAATCATGGCTTCCTCCTGACTAGAGAATGGAACACCAAAATGATGGAATAATTCTCAACTACATGAACCCAATGATGTACTAGCCAAAGCATCAAACATAGGATCGACTTCTGCTTGATCCTGTTCATCCTTAAAAATTCACTCATAGAGAGTAATTCTATAAATTAATTAGAATCAATAAAGTCAAGTAAGAGTAATAAATCTCCATATCTGCAAAATAAATAAATCAATTAAGTTAAGGTGAAAATTTTTCAGCATTCATCAAGCAAGCGGTTTACATCTATTGACCTCCTATTAATAACTGAAATCTGATTTAACTTACCAATTATTTGTTTCTTGACATATTTTAACCAGTTGATAACTATATCAAGCTCTCTAAAGAACTGATCTGGTCAGCTGTAACTTATATGATTTTATATACTTGATTCTTTTCCCAAGTAAGAAACTATGAATAAATAAAACCTAAACGGAGATTACAATTCCAGCAAAACTTTGGATACTGTACACTTTTGGATAAGTTTCTCACACTCAAATATACTTATGCATATACTTTTTAAGGGTATACCTTCTTGGATACGCTACAAAGTTTAGTACCTGCCAAAAGCAAGTACAATAACACAATTGCTTATGTAAGAAAAAGAAAATAATAATCGCACAGATTTGCACAACGCAAGCGTATTACTCTTGTCATGCGGTCTTTACAAATTACCAATCCAATAATTTTCCCCATTATTGAGCAGGTTCATAAATGCATGATTGAGACGATTGCAACACGACCATTAGGGAATCGCCGAACTCGGATCACCCAATCTCACAAAACTAAAATAAAATTCTACTTATTCCATGCCTGAAGGTTTAACCAAAAAAAAAAAAAAAAAAACTAATTCAATAAGGTTGTTTCTGCAAAATGCCATTCCGAAACAATAGAAGTTAAAACCAGGGAGGGGGGTCAAGGAAACTAATCCATTACCCGAATGAGAAGAGAATGCACCGTGCGCAGATTCTCGTAACCCACATGAGTCTGCATCTCCACCGCGGCATTGGCATCTGCCTATCCTTCCAACCCGTCAGCGCGAGCTTCGTAGCCAGATAACCCAACGCAAGCGCGAGACCGAATAGCACCAGCCGAGCAAGCGCGATCGGCAAACAGACCACTAACTTGAACCACCCGTAGACGCCCATCCGCGGCGAGTGGTTCCGGAACGGGTCGATAGGGCTAGGCGGAGGCAGAGAAAACGACGGCGCTCCGAGAAATTCGAACGGATTCTCCTCCTCCACCACCGTCGTCACCGCTCCGCCACTCTCACTCCAGCGATCATCATCCGCATCGCCATCGATGCCTACTACAACCTCGCCCTCTCGACCTCCCTCGGACAGCAAGGGGGCTCGGATGTGGTCGCCAAACGCAAGGTCTTCCATCTCAGATCGTGGCGCGAGGAAGATTTTGGGGGGAAATTGAGATCGCTGGATCGATTTCGAGTCGGATTTTGTTCCGATTCGGGGATTTAAAGGTGTCGTTGGTTTGGTATCGGCCTCGGGTTCGAGGATGAGCACGTGGATCGCTCGATACAGCGAAGTGGGACCCGCTGTCCGCTTTGCGACCTTCCGTTGTTTTGGACGGGGAAAGGAATTTGAGTTCTTGCTTTTACGTTTAATAAAAGCCATGTCTTCCATTTTCTCCGCGATTCTTGCATGTGTCGTAGCGTGTGGACGGCTGTGATGGAATTAGAAAAATAATTTATGGAGTTGGTCTGCGCTTAAGAAATGCAAGCAAGCGCCGAGCCAGATCTAAATACTGAAAAAGAAAATTACAAAAGCAATAAAATGTGAACCTTTGACTAGAGATTGACAGTGGATAATAAATTAGCTAAAAATTTTGGACTAAAGTGAAAAAGGTTATTGAATTAGTTAAGATGCATGCCATCCATCCATCCATCCATCACCGCAATCAAAAAAAAATTTTTTTTTTTAAGTTGAAAGTGGGGCTCATCAAAATACATCTTTGTGGTGATAAACGGTGGGGATCGAACACCGCATGCATCTCTGCATGCGGTGTCCGTATGAAATAATTTTTCCACCAAACGAGCAAAAAGGATCAAAATTAATTTAACTGGAAAATAATAGGTTATCAAAGAATATAAAATAAGCATCTCTCATTTCTCATTCATCTGCCAACTTTATCTACTATTTATGCTTGTGTTTGTGTATGTGTGAGTTAAAAGAAGTAGTTATAAGTATTCTTATTATATTGATTTAAGAATGGTTATAGCATAACGAGCATTTTTTTATTGTATTTCAGTCAATTTTTCTTTTATTGTAAATGAGCATTTGAGCTTTGAGCACATGACATTAAATTTGCACAAGAATAAGGAAAGAAATCCATACATCAAAGAGTCGATGTTCGGAATAATGACTGAAAAGCTCTGTTCTCAACTTGTTCCTCGAGTTGAAGGATGACTGCTCAAAAGAAGTTTGTACAATTTTTTTTCTTTTGTGCATGTCAATCTATACATACCAAGTGGTTTAATTAAATTCCTAACATAGTTTTATTTAAAATCAAGTCAAATTATTTCTACCCTTGTTTCGAAGTAAATTAATAAGAAGACAAGTTATCTTAAGACTTCCATTAAGTGTGCAAGTTATGGAATGTGGAGACATGTGGTGGAAAAGATATTGTACTTTTTTATCAAGAAATAATGTAAGAGGAAGGGAAGGATAAGAGAGAGAATGTAACTTTTTAATATATAATACTCAAGCGGTTATATAAGGAGAGCATTCTTGTTTAATTGCCTGCTAAAATTCTCAAATTCATTTAAGTATCAAAAGTCGTCTATATAGTACACATGAGAACAACATTGTAGAATTAAGGATGTTGAGATGTTTCAACTTTCACAACTGTCAAGAAACAAACCTTTTAGATTCTCCTATGAATGCACTAAGGAACTTATCCTAGGCTTCCTCTCACAATTCAAATTCTTTCAAGAAATGCATAGGGTTATTAATATCCTTAAAAGAAAATCTTGAACATCACTTTTCATAAAAATTTAAACTCAAAAATATTTTGAGTCATTGAAGAAACACATTATATACCAAAGAAATCAATCAACATATATAGCAACATATATTTTAATTCTCCATAACAACATTGGTTATTTGCTTACAATAGGATTTATTCATTATTTAATGGATCTATAATTGACCTTATAAACTAGGCACTACTATAAATATAGTATTCTTGAATTCTAGTGGGTAATGGATCTTAACAGTTCTAAGAATATTATAGTTTTTTACTTATTTACAAGCACATATCTCTATAAATTACATTATATTCATAACATAAATCTTTTTAGCATTTTATTTTATTTTATTATTGAGTTCATTGTATTGGTTGACCTTCTAGATATTGATCACAATATTGATCCACTTAAAATGATTTTATATACTTTATTAAATATTACTAATATCGTTTTAACTCCTTATCGAGTAACATCTCTCTCAACAAGAATATATGAACTCAACGTTTGTGATCTCTTATCATCTCTAGAAAGAATGTGATTATATGATTCATGTTTTTTTGGCATCATATTAAAAAAAAACACTATATATTAAAAAAAAAAGTAAGAAATAAAAATTTAAGAACAATAATGGAGTCCAATCTAAGTCTCGTGTGAAGATTGTTATTATGCATTTAAAGTATCATGTTAGAAATCCTTCTAAAGATAATAATATTCTTACTTAGTAGCATCTTAATGGCCAATTTATGGATCTATGTCAATAATTGAGTACTATCTTTGCATAAATCAATATAATTCTCACTTATCAACCAACTCCCATTTCTTAGCATATACAAATACAAAATAAAGGAAAGGGGATTATAATTCATGGCATTCCTACTTCGATAACTCGTGTAGTGAGTAGCTTGTATAATTAGCCTTCCACTCTAAAAATCTAAGAAGTGCTTATCTTACTAAAATTAAATTTTTTCCTATAAAGATCTAGAAGGGCACTATTGGCTTTACCGATCATCATGACACATTAAAACAAATTTATTTTAATAAATTATTTATGATGTTATTAGTCGATGCATCTTCAACTCCACATTTAAGGACTAAAAAAAGATGTCGTTTAATGATATACACCTTTCAAGCATTAAATTTTTTAAAGAGTTATTATTTCTCTTCTACGCAATTCCCTATCTTAAATAGTTCATAAGACATTTTTGTCTTACTTTTTTCTTAAGTAGAAAAAAAAAAGATTAAGGAAAAAAAGATAAATAATAAGGTTTAAAAATGCCTATAATAATTTACACATATTAATAAGTATATTAGATGAATATAATTATTTTTCCTATTGATTAGAGAACTCAAATTATAGGTCATAAAGTATCCTCTAAACAACAAGCAAAACTTGCTAAACAAAACCACAAAAGTCATTGACATCGATAGATCTATACAAGAGCCTCACTCTTTTACCAAGGAAATTCCTTTTTCTCTATAGAAAAAGAATAAAAATACTATTTTAAAGATTAATAATGGTAGTAGTGGTAGTAGTATATTTTCTTAGTTATGAGAAATTTATTATTATTGTTATTATTATTATTGGAGTAAGTTCAAGGCAACAACTTGCTTGAATTCTCTGGCTATTTAAAGATTGTAGAAGCTTAAAAAGGTTCTCGTAGTTTAGAATAAACATTTCTTTTAATTTACTATAATAGTCGCCTCTGCGAGGAATATCTAATAAAAATTGTGGGAAAATTCAAGGTCATATAGCATCAATTTTTATCGAAGGCATTACTGATGGGATTCATTGGGGACTAAAACTAACAGGTAGCTGATGAACTAGATGTCGGTTACTAATTTATTAAAAATCAATTGTTGGACCCTATCATGAAGTTGTCAGTTACTATTAATATATCAGGCTGATGATGAAAGCCCCTCATTTATTCCTTCTCTCTCATGTGTCTGTTCCAAACCGACTGATGCCCTTCCCTTGATTCTTCCTTGAACTAAATTTTTTTTCATTTTCCTACTCTCAAATCAAGTGTATACTTTATTTTCACTATTCATAAATGTTAGATCCCAAATTTTTTTTGAGTAGGCATGCCTCTAGAGTTAGAGCGTGAAATTAGAAAAGATAAAAAGGAGAGATAGCAAGACAGTAATAATTTCAGAATATGAGTGTGTAACCATTTATTCAAAAAACAACCCTTATTTATATTCATAGGTGGCTTAAGTTTACAATTACATTTGCATCATTTCTCCCTCATCAGTTAGTGGGTATGTCTAGTTTTTTTCCTACTCTAGAGTGGTTAATATAACCACCTCTTAAATAACTAAATGAATGCATCTCTCATGAGCACTTGTGGCCATTGGATATAATACATGGCTAGGTATAGCTAATTTTTATTTCCAGTTGTCCGTCACTTAAGCCTTGATTGATTAGATCGGTCAGTCGATTCAACCGATCATTTATGTTCGATGGATTAAGTGATCGATTGAACGGATGTATTGAGTTAGTCAGTCTCTTAATGATTTACCGTGTGAAATTTTGATCGACAATAAGGGTGTTCTTTTTCATTGTTTGATCCCTTTAAGATTTGTGATGATAATTTTCCTGTATACATATTAGTTTTCCAATTTTCTTGCCTCTTGTTAACTATAATTACAATGAGGACAAGAAAATAGTTAATTAAATTTCATCAAAACATAATGATTACTCTCTAGTTTTTTATGCCCATCATGCCCTTAAAATCTTATAAATAGGGTCAAAGGAGTGTTCCCTCCTCACTAACATATTGATTTTCAAATGCCATCATGTTTGATGCAAGAGATCTTGATCATTTTGATGATGATGCTCCCTGAATGACTCTTGAAGAGTTCCAGCTCCCTCCTCAGCCTCTTCCTTTTTTTGTGAACAAAAAAATGAAGAAGAAGGTGGTGGTTGTGAGGAGGAAAAAACTCAAGAAACAAGCCATTGATTTAAATAATCATGTTGCATCTTCTACTGGCCCCGATGCTGCTTGACCAGAAAAGGTATCGAGAGTGACAAAAATTTAAGGGTCTTCGGCTTCTCTCATGGATTCTATTATGATCGTTGAGGAAGAGTTTTGTCAGGTTGATCCGATCACCCAGGAGGTGGCTGGTGTTTTGGAGCAACTTTGTACAATGGTAATTTCCAACGTTTCCTCGCTCGAATTGTAGTAGAATAATGCTTTCATCTAAGTTTTACCCATAACTTCCTCTGAATTAGGTAGGTTGTCAGGTATGATTAACTAGTTACTTGTAGTATAAATTTCTCTTCTTTCACACTGACCTTGATGTAAGTCTGGATGTTGGCTTCCTAGCAGTTAAGGTATGCAATCGACTGATGTTGCTCCTGATCCTACTTCAATTCCAATGATTGTGCTTCAACACCATATCAAATTGGTGATGTGGTCAATCAGTTAGTCGATCTTTTTACTATTTCCCAAGGGATGGATGACAATCAACAACATTCTTTAGGGTCATTGGAGCGTAGAGTGAATGAAATGGTGGATTCTTTTGGAAGTGAGGCCCGAGGATCAGAAAATAAAATTATTCAAGATTTTCAAGTTCAGGTCGAATGGTTGGGAAAAGGAATGCACTCTCTCTGTGATGAGGCGGTAGCTTTTTATACAGAGCTACGAGTCGGTCAGACACAAC